GCCAGCAGGCTCATACGCACAAACGGCAATGAGAAACCTATCCCCAACCCGAAGGAGCAGGGAAGTGACCCTCTCGTTCACCAAGGTAAACTCCAACACATGGCGGCTAAGCTGGGGGGCTATGAGCAAGCCCACGACAGCCCACCACCTCTCACCGTGGGCAACTCCAAAGTAGGACACAGTCCAGGCTCTCTCAAGGAGTAAGGTTCCAGAGCCCAAGCTGTGCGTGGAGGTGAGCCCAACTATATCTAGCCTGTACCTCTCAACCTCCTGCACAAGCTCGGGCTCCTTCCCCACCAGCGAGGTGACATTCCATGTCCCCAGGGCTAGCCTCTGTGTCCAGAGATCAGGTCGTCGGGGGCCTTGCCTTCGACTGCTGCCCAAGCCACTGTGCACCAGCCCCTAATGGATCCTCCTGCAGGTGGTGGGCCCACGGGAGGACGTCCCCCCGTCGCTCGTTCAGCTAAGCCCGGCCAGGCCTCACGGGGGGAGGCCCGGCCACCAGGCACTCGCATTCGCGCCCCAACCCTGGGCCTGGCTCCAGGGTGGGGACCCGGCTGCCCCCTACCAGGCGATGTCACGGTCCTTGATTGAATTCTATTCATAAAGGGCTTTTTGAACCTCTCTTAGTCTGACCCGTCACCTAGGACCCGTTTGCCTTGGGAGACCCTACCAGGGGCATATAGCTGCCGACAACATAGCTCCTAGGATCACTCAGGTACTCAAACCCCTCCACCACAATAAGGTGGCGGTTCAAGGAGGGGCTGCCTAAAACAGTTTAAACTAAATCTGAACATTATCACCTTCCTGTTCTTATTGTAGGACTGCTGAATTATTTGCATTACTTTTAGCTATCTGTACCTAATAGACTGCCAACTGAGTGTATACTAAACTAACCCATACATGCGGGTATACAGAGTGTTCCTCCTCACCTGTTGGGTGGTGGTGGTAAAGGCGGTGTAAGGTCCTCATGGTAAGCTCCTCTAGGGGAACTATGTTATCTGTCTCTGAGCCGACAACCTTAACATCAGCTGGAAGTTTGACCAGAGCCTCACTCAGTGTCCCACCCACATTGCTCTCCAACACCTGGGATGACACACCACACCTATGCGGGAACAACATGTGCTGCTACTATCAGATTTTTCGGTTTTCTATCATTTTGTTCCATCATTAAAACAATTTGGGGCTAAACTAACTTGCACTGCTCTGCAAGTTAAATGAAGTGAATGCAACTTCAGCTAAACTATATCAAAGTGAGCTGTTTGGGAAGGTGCATTACCCGCTGCAACCAATGACCTTGTTATACAAGTAGGAAGGAAGGCCTTTTAGGTCCACATTGTTGTCAACAAACACAAACTGCAGCTCCCGTGATCTGCCCAGATCTGAAACACAAATACATCTTAACGCTGCCTTGCTCACAACATTGACACTCAATATGGCAACAGAAAGATAAGGGAATGTACTGACCGAGTGGCAGAAAGCCCAGCCGGTTAGCGGCCATGGAGAGTTGGTTGAGGCGGTGGAGCCAGCAAAGCTGCCGGGGAACGTGGCTCAGTAGGTTATGGTCTGCTGTTAGGTTCTGCAATGACAGACAGCGGTGGAGCCGGTCTGGTAGAGTCATCAGCTGGTTCATCGACACATCCAGAGTCTCCAGTTCCTGCAGATCACCAATCTCTGAATTCATCAGACAAACACAAGATCAGATTTCTACCATTTGAAAAGCAAATTAAATAGAAGTCACAGATTAAACCTGCACAAATTTTAACTACTGTAAGTGAAAGTTTTTTAAATTCGCTTCTTTGCCAGTTTCACATTCACTTTATTACACATTTTTGTCCCACTCCACAGATGGCCTGCTGTGAAGGCAACAAGAGAATTTTGGAGGACAGCTGACTAACTCGCAGGTAATTACTGTTCATGTTATCTAACATATCTCCGAATAGTCTGGAACCAAGAAAGAACAGGTATTTACATTCCCTTTTATACAAACACTGACTTACAAAGTTCAAGTTCAAAGTGTTTATTTTGTCATATGCACAGTTAGGAAACATGTTTCCCTGTACAATGAAATTCTTACTTTGCTATCCACATGAATGCCACAAAATACAAATGAAATATAAAGTAGATAAACAAATAACACAAAATCCAAGGCACTTTAAGCAGCACAGATGCAGCAATATACTTAAAAAAAAAAATATAT